GGGAAGGAGGAGGAGGAGGAGGAGGAGGATCCAGTTCACATCTGCCTGGCTCTGAAGCCTATGTTGAATCATTTTCATACATATTACCTCATTTGTATCCAACAGTTCTAAGGTATAGTTTTATTCCTCAACAAATTAAGGGTAATATATATGAGGGAATCATGCGACTAGTAAATGTTAGAGCCAGCTTTCATTGAGTTCCTACTGTGTACCGTGTGTTACTATTAACACATTATCTCAGCATTCCATGAAGAAACGTTGTCACACGAGACAGATGAAGAATGTCAACCAACCAACCCAAGACAATTGCAGAAAGAAGCCTGGCGCTAAAATTACTAGAAGTGAGAAGGTTTATCATGTAGGGATCTAAAAGGGGTGTTGTCCTGGAACTGCCTCTTTGCATTTGAAATGTTTTCAAACAAGTCAACTTACAGTCATCATTTGGACAAAACAATGGAAAGAAGTGTGTCTTCACCCTTACTGCCTGCAAGCAAGAAGTAGATGTGTTCAGATATCAATCTGAGGGGGCCTGAAGGCATCACAGGACAATTTGTGGAGAGTACAAATGATCAGATGTGTCTTCCAGACTGCAATGCCCATCACTGACAAGTTGCAAATTCTGATATTTTGAATACAGTACTTGGCTCTGTGGGAATGTTCCTGAGTAATCTGTAACACAGGCTAGATTGAAGGTGAGTCCAGTTATACTAACAGAGGAAAGGTAACCATTTCAAAGTGCCTTTAGCAACCCAGACTGCAGACTGTTATTGGTATGACTATTGCTGAAACAGGTGTTAGGTTCATAAATTTGCATAACAAAATGCTTTTCCTGTGGCAGCAGCCCATACAATAATTGGTGCCATCTGTATTTATCTGAAGTTTAGTTTCTAATATGAAGACAGAGAATCTTGTGCTTTCTGATTTCATAGTGCCCGTTTGATGCCGAGGATGCCTGATGTTGGAGAGATTTTCATCATTTCCCAGAAAATACACATTGAGGGAAAATATGAGAGTAATAATAACATACATTGCTCTTTCTTCATCCAAATTTTCATTTCCCACTACATAAAGCATAACTAAAGCCACAAGACCTACAGAACTGCTTCTTTAGGGCAGTGAGGAAGAGCCAGCTAGGACAGAAAACCAACAAGCCCTGCCAATACAATTTACCACACTCTTTTGAAAGGGACTGCTTCTGCTAGATCCTGTCTTTGCTGTTTTCTTACCTCACCCAATTTGTAAAAATTAGAATCTGGCATAAATAGCATCTCTAGTTCAACTGCTTTACCCCCCCAAGAGAGCAGAACCCATTTTGAGTTGACGCTTTATATCTATTCCTAATGGGAGAAGGAACAACAGAAATTGTAGGAAAGCTTTGTTCTCTAGGATCTGAGAGATAATGCTGGCATATTCTGAGTAAAGGATGTCCTAGAATAAAAGGAGTCATCTTTGTCAATGACTATGATAAAAATTGTCTTATGGCTCTCACAAGTCAAGCCCACAGCAGACCTGTAAAATAAATGTTATAGGTAGACCATGTGGATTCTTTCAATATTTTGTGTAAATTTTGTGTGTGCAGATCCAAGAAGACCTTCACCAATTAAAGGAGAAATTAACGAAATTCCCATGTGAGGAAGAAAGAAAGACTCTAGATATTCAGAATCTTGAAACAGCGATCCGAAGGACAGAAATGGGGTTAAGAGTAAGTAGGCTTCAGATATTAAATAAATCCCGGAAAGAGACAAAGAAGCTTCTAGAAGAAAAGATGTGTGGTTCTCACAGGACCCTGAAAATTCTGTAACCCAGTGGGATATAGGGTGGCCATTTGCATGCATGTCTTCTTAGTTTTCTAATCGACAATGATTACTACCTGATTGATTTACATCATGTTATATTCCACAAAGAATTTAAAGAGATGAAATATAAGATTCTGCAGCAGCAAGTTTAGAAATTGGTTTGATAAAATAACTTAAGCTTGAAAAATAAGCACTATTATTCGAACAAAATGCAGTGTAATTGAAGGATAAGGTGAAGGTTTAAATTGTCTAAAAATATATTACAGTAAAAGACACATTGCCATTAGTCCCCCTTGCTTCAAACATACTTAGCCCATCCTTCTCACCCCTTCTGGAGGCAGTTCAGGAGCTCTCTTTCGTGAGAATCTTCAGTTGCACTGCCATGACTGCCTCAATGCCCTGAGTCAATTTAACACATTTATCTTTCATGATTATTTTAACTTTGGGGAAGAGCTAAAAGTTGCACAGGACCAGATAAAGAAAGGTCCAGTAACTAAGGTGCTTGACAGTGCACCATAATCTTTTTATGAACCTGCCTTTCGGTTGGATGGCACTCAGGATGAGCATTCGTTGTATTTTTCTTTTTTTTAATCACAACTTCTAAAGACACTCACAAAAGAGGACTTCCAGAACTGCTTTAGAAAGTGGCAGGAAAAAAAAAAAAAGCATGCTCAAAGTGAGGGAGAGGTATTAGCAAGGTGTTTTTGTAATAAATTGTGAAAATGTATACACACATCATATTTTTTTTGGTACTGGGGATCGAACTCAGGACCTTGCCCTTGGGAGGCAGGTGGCAGCACAACTGAGCTAAATCCCCGGTCCCCTATACATCAAATGTTTTGATCAGCCCTTGTTTTGCCTGACCAAAAAGGATTCCTACCAATACAATGCAGATTTCTGGGATTCACTAGGACTCTAGAAAACAAAAGATAACTATTCCCTAGTAGCTTAAGTATTTTGAACTATTCATTTTTGTAATATTATAATCAAATGGCTAAAACTGAAGAAATAGACTGATTTTGAGACAGAGAAATAAAGTAGAGACTTCACATTATTAACAGACTTGAGGAGAGGAGAATCCAGTCTTCAGACCAGGCTACTATTCATCTATGAAACCAGCATGTGTTAGCTAATAAGGTCCATCTTCTAGAGCTGTGATTTTCAGTGCCTCAGACCTTCATGCTCCTGTGTAATCAGTTTCATTGCTAGCTCCCAAGGCTGCGAGAAACTGTGGTGTTTCCTATAGCTTCCTCAGACTGGCACGTCATTGTCCTATATTACTTGATGGCAAGCGGGCTGGACCCAGCTGGAGTCTTTGGGTTGGCCATTTTGAATAATCTGTTACCTAAGGCCAGATGTTTATCTCAGTTGCTTGCTTCAAGTCCCTGTAAGAGAAAGACATTATTCCTTGTCTGTATTGCCTCACAGATTTACCTGGCTAAGCAATTTGCTGGCTGTTGTGAACAATTTCATTTGCAAAGAATGCTACAGGTCACTCAAGCTTTGAGACTCAGTTGTTTTTGAGAGAGCTGAAGTCATTCCATCTTCTAATACCTAATGACACCTTAGGCATGTAATAACACATAGCGTGTTGTGTTTTTTAGCTTTGTTACACAATTCAGTGTTAACCTAATAAAATGAATGAACTGAGTATCTTTAGTCCACCATAATGGCCTAAGCTTTGACTTTTCTGTAACAGATTCACATTCAGAAGTATTTAGATGTTGTAAACCATCAGGTGTTAATGACTTCCATGGATGAGAACTTACATACTCCTGTATCTTCAAAATGGTGAGTAAAATGGCCATTTTAGAGACCAAGTCAAATAAAATAATAACTTTTCTGTCTTAGATAAGTAATTATCCAGGCAAAAATTTCCTGGCATTGTATATATCTATTCTACTAACTTCAGTAAAGTATTGCATAAAAATTAATGAGCTTTAATTGTAGGTTACTTCTATTGAGTTCTAATGCTTGATACCATGACAGTTACCACAGGGTCCAGATTTTAGTTTTACTTTTTAGTTTTAGTTTTAGTTACTTTTAAATGAAAGGTACAGTGGATCCTCAAGTTACGACCATCCTGACATACCAACAACTTGGGATAATTAGGTTAATGGAAGATTCATCTGCCTCTGGTTATGTATAATATATACCCAGGTAAACATCCAGATCTCAGCTGTGCTGACTTACAACCGATGTTAGTTACAACCACTCTCCAGAACCGACCCAGTCTATAAGTCAAGGGTATATTGTTAAAGAGTTAAAATTCAACTCTTCAAGGAAACATTTTAACGTAATTTAGTTTTTACACATTTAGATCAATTGTAGAATGTCATACCTGCTTTATTATAAGGATGATTTTGTTATGCCTGGTGAACACAAGTAATGGAACTTGCTAGAAATATTCATTATGTTATCATTATGTCATGTCCAAAGAGATGATTTATTAACATTAGAATTGAGTTTAAAAGAAGTGGTCTTGGACTCGGGATTTATCTCAGTGGTGCCACACTTGCCTCACCAGCTCAAGGTCCTGAGTTCAATAACAATAAATAAATAAATAAGAAAAAAATAGAAGAAGTGGTCTTGCCTCAACCCAGACCTTCTTACATACAGGACTCCCAATGAGTGAAGGGAGATTGTACGCTTTTGTTCCAAGCTTATAAACCCTCTGGCTATTTGTGTTCTGTACATGTACCCAGGACAAGGGAATGACATGGGGTGGCGAGGTCAAGTTTCAAAGTTAGTGCCCAGGAAGTTAGGGAAAGCCATAGACATAGCCCAGTCCCGGCACTCAGTAGTAGGGAGCAGAGCTTTGGACATGCATCATACCTGTCTCCCTAAGCCACGAGCACACAGGCAGTGGCAGCCCTTCTCTCATCTCCCTACTTCTCCCTGGGCCCACTGCAGTCACAAACATTGGCCATCTCAAGCTACTCTGCATTCAACAGTTTCATTCCTACTGCATAGATGGCCCTTATGCCACTTATCAAGTGCCTTGCTTCCAACTACCCCAAACATACTGGCTTAGAATAACAAACACTTGCTATGCCACAGTCTCTGTCCTCAGGTATCTGAGCACACTGAGCCAAGTCCCTCTGGCTCAAGGTCTCTCACAAGGCCACACTCTAAGTGCTGGCTGGGGGAGGCTCCTCTAAAGAGCTGACAGGGCCTGGGAGGGCAGGGCCTGAGGGGTGGGAGGAGATCTGCTTCCAAGCTGACTCACATGGTTTCTGGCAGGACTTGGTCCTCACGGGTGCATCTTTCTTAGGCTCTCTCAGGGTTCCCCAGCATGGCAGCCAGTGGCCCAGAGGTGGAAGCCATAGTCCTGTAACCTAACCTATCACTTCTACTCTGTTCTTGGTTAGAAGTTGGTGGGTTTACCCCACACTCGAAGGGAAGGGGTTACACAAGGGATCAAATACCAGGGGTGGAATCACTGGGACCCTCCAGGAGTGCACTTCCCACTGTACTCTCAGGTTTATCTTCCTGATCCAACCCCTGCCAGCTTCTCTGTCAAGCTTCCCCTCACCTCTTCAAACTACTTTGAATTTCATAGCGTTAACAACAAGGGAGCCAAGGGAGAAATAGGGAGACCAGGGAAGGGTTGCTTCCACAACTTAATTGGCACAGATCCTTGACTATCTTCTCTTGGTAGTTACTTTTCCATTGCTCTGAAGGGCAGTGGCCAAAGGTCTTAGTTGTTCTGGCTTTTCACAATGACTGGCACATAGCTGGACCTGGGTAAATGTTTGATCATCTTGATAATAACACTTTGTCTTTCTCACGGATAGTACAGAAAGCATATGTATCGATATTATCTTATTTGATCCTTTAAATAACTATTTCATAGGCCTGATAGGTATTTTCCTCATTTTATAAATATGTAAAATGACGTCAGAGAGGTTAAAGAACTTGACTAAAATCTTAGAGCTATTCTCTCACATCTCAGTGTTCTTTTCCCCAGTTGAAATCCTCCTTGCACGTATTAGGATAATTAGCCAAAGTCAAAAGGCTACACCCAGAGGTGCAGAGATAGGAGTGGACTACATGTGCCTTGGACCCTTCCTGTTTTGGAGAGGTTATAAGTGATTAAGCTGTGGGAACAGGAGGAAGGCCATGCCAGTCTTCAGCTTTGTTAGTTCTTTGCCTTTAGTATCTGGTACCCCAGCTCTCCACCAACTTCTGGGTTTATGATGAGTCTAAAAACCCATTGTCCTCCCCTCTCCCTCTCCTTATGTTGGACCAATTAGAATAGTGGTGGCAGACCTATGGCATGCATGCTGCAGCGGGCTGTTTGTTGTCACTGAAAGCTCTAAAAGGTTCACCATTACTGAATCAGAAGACCTGAAAACCTCTTAACACTCTGTTCTGAATGGACCTGAAGATCTTCATATGGTGCACTCCTGTAATCCCAGTACTCTGGAAGGCTGAGGCAGGCGGATCCCAAGTTTAAACCTAGCCTGGGGAACTTAGTGATTTAGCAAGACCCTGTCTTGAAATAAAAAGTAAAAAGCAATAGGGATATAGCTGAGAGTGAAAGCCCTGTGTTCCATCCCTGGTACCACAAAAAGAAAAATAAGTAAGTAAAAATACAACAACCTATGACTGAATAAATTGCCCAAGATTACATGGCCCCCAAATCGACAGGAACGTGAAGTTCAATCTTCCGATTCTAAATTCAGTGTATGTCCTGTCATGCTAACGAAAGACAGTATATTGGTGTTTGCAAATTATTTTCAATATTTTTAAATTCTTAAAGAAATCATGATAGACCTAACTCAAATTTCAAAAGCATCCTCTTAACTTGAGCAATCTAGTGAGAAAAACTGTGCTAGTCCATACTGATTATATGATAGATGCCTAAGTGCTGAAATTCCTGAAGTGTTACATGATTGTCATCAGTATTCTTTTAGCCACATAAAGGGTCTGCTTCTGTATATACAAGTCATATTCTGCCACCCTATTTCTATGAAATAGGTTGAGTAAGGTTAGAGTAAGCTTTTTTTTTTTTCCTCCAGTACCGGGGATCAAACTCAGGACCTTGTGCTTTCAAGGCAGGCAGAGCTATTGAGCTAAATCCCAGCCCTTAGAGTAAGCTTTTTGCATTGGGACTGAACTGGGACTGGAACTTGGCAGTCAGGCTAGTAGGAACTGCCAGTGTCAGCTCAAATGATGAGGCCACGAATCTTAGGGGAGTAGCTCCTGAAAGGGGAGGCCTTATAATAAGGACTGTAGGTCTCTGTTGCTCCCCTGGCAGCATAGCACATTCTGAGTAACTGAGAATCAACAGTGCCCAGATGTAAGTGGCTTCGCTCTACCTAACTGATGCCCCAGAATGTCAGAAGGCTTCATTCCAAGTGACTACTATACCCAGGTACACCTACAAAATGATTCAGAACCACATATAATAATTATCAGCAGCAGTAGCAGCAGCACCGTTGTCAGTATTTTGGCAGCACCAGATGGCAGAAAACTTTGAAACTCTATGAGATCAATATGAACCTACTGAGGAAACCAAGGCTTAAGTAAATCAGTCCCAGGTCACAGAGGAAGTCAATGGCAAAACCCAGACACAAGTCCAGATCCAATATCTGCAGTCTGATACTCTCCTCCCAGTCCATGGCTGCCTGAAAACCAGGAAGCTTACTTTTCACAAAAGATGGTTTTCCTTTCCGGCAAGTATTGCTCAATCTGGAAGTTTGCTGGGTAGGGAGAAAAACCGGTAGGTACATAAAGTGACAATGATGGCTGTCAGGCAAATGCAAGATTTTCTTAGCAGTCATTCCGAAAAGAGTGCTAAAGATATTACCCAAAGTAGCGTATTTTCTCCAAACAGCTCAAAGCGCTTTTGTACTGTTTTCAAAATAGGTTCCACTGTTCTCCGCACTTCGGCAATGATTCTTCTTCTGAGTCAGAATGTGGCTCTTCCTCTTGTCGTTGCTGGCTTTCACGGGTTTTATTGCTTGTCATATCTGCTCACACTGTTCTCAATGGCCACGCTCCGCTGGTTGACACAAGGAGGGTAACTACCATCTGTAGCGTCAGAGCTGCTTTGCAGAAATCTTCTCTTTGTATCCTTGTGCTGTGCTGGGGGGTGCGGTGGGGAGGACACAGCAAATAGATAAGGGTGAGAAACAGCAAGAGGAAGAGAGGTTTCTGTGGGAGGAGATTAGAAGGTACGCAGTCATTCAATTATTGAAGCACCTTGGGTCCAGTCCCTTCTGTATTGTCCCACGCACCTTGGGTCCAGTCCCTTCTGTATTGTCCCACGCGGCACGCAAATGTCAGCCTTGCAGAATCTGCCTTCACCCCAGACACCCCCAACGCACACACAGTGGGAGAGAAAGACCAGGGTGGGGGTAACGAGATGTTAACCCTTGCTATGCTATATGAGAGCCACTTGGACTCTCACTCTTTTTCCATGGAACTGAACTTTTTCAAATCAAAAATTAATTTTTAAGGCTTCATCATACAGTTAAAAAGTAACAAGCTGGAGAAAACCCTCTTGCAACAGATTTCTCACAAAAGCTGTCAATGCTGCGTTCTGTTTTGTTTTGTTTTGTTTTTTGGTACCGGGAATGCAACTCAGGACCTTGCGCTTGCCAGGCAGGCAGCGGCACACTGAGCCACATCCAGGACCAATACTGCATTCTTTAAAAAAAAAAAAAAATAGCTCTTGAAGAGCAAAACCTTGATATAGGCAGAAGGGCATCACACATCGCAGAAAGAGACATGCAAATAAAATCAATGAAACACATAGGTGAAAGATGTTTACTGTTACGAGT